TTGAAGGGAGATTCAAGGGGTTCTCAGTGAGGTAAGTCGCTTGAGCTCTAGTACTCCTATATATGGTGTTTTCCCGTTGTTTTATCAATTAATTAGTGGAAATTAGGGGTGAAAATGAGGGGTTAGGGCTTGGGGTTTTGGAAAGTTCGATTTGACAATTTGAGGGACCAAATGGAGTCAAATTTTGATAAATTTTGTATGCATGGAGTCGTGAGTGAATGGGCTTTCTAGTTTTGTGATTTTGTCGGATTTTGAGACGTGGGCCCGGGGGCCAGGTTCAATTGAATTTTGAGATTTGTGTCCAATGTGGAATTGGTTCCTTGTCCTATATTGATTGCATTGTATCGCTTTTGGCTAGGTTCGGGATATTTGGAGGCCGATTCGAGAAGCAAGGGCGTCGCGGAGTAGGATTTTGGCTTGGTTTGAGGTAAGTAACACTTTCAAACTTGGTTTGAGGGTTTGAAACCCCGAACTATGTGTTATGTGATTAGTATTGAGGTGACGCACATGCCAAGTGACGGGCGTGCTGGCGTGTACTGTGAGAATCGGGACTTGGTTCGTCCCATGGCACCGTTTAGTGATTCTTTCTTGTTGATATTCGTGTTTTCATCATATGATTAAGTAATGAGCTGTAAATCATGCTAGATATCATGTTAGGGCTTTGCGCCGATACTGTTGGGACCCCTAGTGGCCGTTTCTTGCTGTCATCTCACTAGTTTCATTGATATTCTATACTCAGCCTTATTCATGCATTTCATATCATGTCTCAGTCTCAGTTGTTATTTATTGACACATCATATAATTGTTCTAGGCTAGTTTTAATGGCATTGTGAGCTCGTGTGTGAGACTGGAGAGTGGTGACAGAGTGAGGTCAAGAGCCTGATTATGAGTGACAGTTATGGGATCGGGTTGCATGCCACAGGAGTTATGTTGATGATTATGATTGGGCTGTAGGAACCCCTCCGGAGTCTGTAATACACCCCTAGTGAGCGCAGATGATATTATTGAGGGATGGATTTCCTGGACATGGATTTGTCCGAATTATTGATATCTGGAGATGGATTTCTCCACAGGGTTGGATTACCCCTTTCCTCGGTATCGAGTGACTTATAGTCAGCATTGAGTATGTTCCAGGATGGATTTCCCTGGGCCGGATGGCCATATGTGGTACTGAGTGGTTGAGTATGTATATATATACCTCGAGATGGATTTCTCCTCAGGGTTGGAATACCCTTTTTCCTCAGTACTAGTTGACTTGCAGTCAGTGTTGTATATGTTCCGGGATGAATTTCCTTGGGCCGGATGGTCATATGCAGTACCGAGTGGTTGAGCACTTGAGAGCGGGAGCACATGGTACATTTCATACATTATGTGCATTGGCATGTAGAATTTAGCTGAGCTATATATCTCACATGGTGAAAATCTGTATTTATTTTACCGTTTGAGCTGTATACTTGAATTGATAGCATGCCTACTTTTCCTGCACATTTTATTTTTGTTACCTGTTTAGGTTAAGTTCGTCACTACCTATTAGTCCATAGTTTGGACTTATTACTTACTGAGTTGGTGTACTTACGTTAACCCCTGCACCTTATGTGCAGATCCAGGTATCTCTGGCCACGACATCGGTTGTTGATTTACTCAGTAGTGGATCATCAGAGATAGCGAGGTAGTTGTCTGGCGATCGCAGTCCTGCTTTTCTCCTTCTTTATCTTCCCTTTAGTGTATTTTGGTTATTCTGAGACTATGTTAGTCTTGCTATTTTTAGAACAGTTTGTAGTAGTTGCTCATGACTTAGTGACACCCCGATGTCGGGCTATCTTTTCCGCATTTTCTTATTGTAAGTTTAACTCTTTTATGAAATTTCTATTATGGAAAGCTTTGACTTAATTTTTATGAAATGTCAAAGTGTTTTTGTGAAGTGTCGGCTCGCCTAGTACCACGATAGGCACCATCACGACATGTTAGAGTTTGAGTCGTGGCAGGTACTGAATCAGTATAAAGAATGTTGCGCCTCCTTTACTTTTCTGCTTGCTCAATTTATTTCTGTTGCGATTAATTCCTGTGTGATGTTTGGTCGACTAATTTCCTACATAGTCAACTAAGTTTTACAAATCGGCTACAATTCACCCACCTCCCCCCTCCCTTCTCTTGTACTTTCATGTACTACTTGCATATTCAAGACAACTTAGTTCCTATGTACCTGTGAAATTAAGAGCATGTTTGGAATGCCACATAGGAATTGGATTTGGGTGTAATTACGCAATTTGACATGTTTGTGTGGCCAAGTAATTACTTAGTCAGCATGGAATTGGGTGTAATTGGAGAGCTGTAAATTGTAATTACATTCTCCAATTCTCAAGAAGGAGGTGAGAATTGGTGGTAATTATACTGTGTAATTACAAGGTTACTTCTTAATTTCTTTCCTTTTTTATTTTTATTTTAATATATTTTCTTTATAAATTTTTATTTTCATTATTTTAATTCCTTTTTATTTTAATTTTTAACTTTTTGTTTCTTTTTTAGTTTAAAAATATATTTTTCTTTGTACATTATTTATATTTTATTTCTCTGCCTTTTCTTCTTGTGATTCCATGTAATTGCTCGTATATTTTATTTCTTATTTGTTTTATTTTCTTCATTTAGTGTAACTGCGTTTTTACTATAGTTTTTGAAACCCCACCTCCTAATATTAGAAATAATGAGTCATTAACAATCTTGGCATATAAGGAGTGATGACATTAAAGTAGAATTTCATTGTTGAATGAGGTTATAAACTTATTATGTTTCCTAATCTTAAACTGCATTGGAACTTATTTTTATTATGTTAGATTTTGAAATATGTTAAACTATTTTTTAGGATGAAATTGTGTTATATTTATGGCTCCAATTTACTTGTATTATTAGTATTGGCTTGTTGTTTCACATTGCATATTGTTCATTTTTTAGTTAGAATTGATAGATTAGTTTTGTTAAACATTTGAATAATGCTAAGACATTATATTTATATATATTAATTTATTTTATCAAACATGCATTCCTTGATGTTTTTACAAACATATATTTNATATATATATATATCAATTATTTTTACAATATTAAATATAAATATATGATTATTAATTAATGTATATCCAAGGAAAAATATGCATCTTAAATACCAAGTCTAATAATCATTTATACTCATAAATAATTTTTTATAGGCATATATTTATTATATTAACTTTTAAGTTTTGATAATTACTTCATTTAAAAATTTAATCTACGTATGTAATTTCACTTGTGTAACCAAACAGTACGCTTGTAATTATACTGTAATTACGTTATGACAAACAAATAGGTCGTCGTAATTGCTATATTGTGTAATTACTAGGATAATTACTAGGTTGTGTAATTACTACCCTAGTAATTACACCAATTTCAATTATCGGGTAGCTTTCCAAACATATCTATCAAGAATGCAATGAGATCACGGCATACAACAATGTAAGATTGTTAGGTATACTTCTATCGTAGTTGCGAAATTATTTCCCAAGACCTGGGTTCAGAAATTTGCTCTCTTTAATTCTTCTCTAACTGGCACCCAATGCCTTAAACTAGCACCAGTGGCCCACGATAACATTCTAACGATTTCATACACGATACAATATGACATCTCAATAAACATTTATAACTTCTCAATGAAAATAATCTTAGCTTTCATTTTATCAAAATAATGTGTGGAATTTAACTTTACAAATTTTACAACGATAATGTCTATAAATATAACTAAACTTCCATAGTACATGTCATAGAACCTTTAACGATTAAACATAGGAGCCATAAGACACAATTTAAATAATTGTGCAAAGGAAAGGGACTGAGGACAATTTAAATAATTGTGCCCGTAAGTTTATTGGATACATCCGATAAGGTTGGAGCGATACTTTAGTGATAATAAAAATACATGAACAATAGTAAAATAGCATTTCACATGAAAGCGAAGTAGAAAGCACTAAGCATTTCATGTACATTTAAAAGCATCTCAAATCTTTAAAAAATTTCATAAACTAAACAATACTATACGTTCAGTGGGAGTTCCAATAATATTGTCTATAGCAATGTCTGTGTGTTGATTATCCCTCGATCAACCTGAGCGTCTCATCTAATGAAATGAGGCCGTAAGAGTAAACATTTGACTTGCCTGCAGAAGAGAGGAATTATGACGCTACTTCAATCTTGGAAAGGCATGCACTGAAAATATCTGGACCCTTATATCAGAAAACTGCAGTCTTCAGCTACCAGTTAACATAAGCTTTAACATCTTTCTTTGGTCCACTGTACCGCAACAACAAGATGCACCAGAAGACATCATAATTTTTTTAGACTTAGCTGCCAAGGCAAAAGCTATAGCAGGCTGTAGTAACATCGAGTAAACAATCAAAAGAATATGAGCATGGAACCACCACGACATGCTATGCAGGAAAAGCTACAGTTTGGATGGTATATAGCAGGATTAGGAGAAGGTAGATCAGTTAGTCCCAATTTTAGGAAAATTGGTGATGAAATTTCTATTGATGTGTCAGGCTTGCTAGTTCTTGACAAGAGGGGTTGCTCTGATGGTAAGCAACCCCCACTTCCAACCGAGAGGTTGTGAGTTCGAGTCTCCCCAAGAGCAAGGTGGGAAGTTCTTTGAGGGAAGGATACCGGGGGTCTATTTGGAAACAGTCTCTCTACCCTAGGGTAGGGGTAAGGTCTGCGTACACACTACCCTCCCCAGACCCCACTAAGTGGGATTATACTGGGTTGTTGTTGTTGTTGTTGTCTGGCTTGCTAGGACAGTCGTATCATCCTATGAGTCAGTCATAGTCCACCAGTTGAGTCATTGATATAGACAATTTCTTAAAATAATTGTGTCAACCACTTAAAGTTTGAACATGGATCCAACATTTAATATTTTGCAGCCTTAATTACAATTAAGAGGCTACTCAAGCTGATAGATAAGGCAGACAAAGGATGCATGAATCAAATGGGCTTCTATTACGAGGAGAAGGCTATTATCAGCGAAACAAGAAGAAACAAACCAATCCTTTATTCAAGTGCAGAATATGCTACAAATCTTTATCAATGGATCACTTCTTCTGTGAGACATATGAAGTATCTGAAAAACCCCTCTTCCCCTACATCCAAGAAAAGGGTATCCAATAAAATTCTTCTTGGCATCATGCCGTGGTTTCTAGAAATGGATAGTCACTATAGCCAACAACAGGATCAGATATATAGAATGTATCCCTGTTATACTTGTTGAGAGGTGCATCGAGCTCAAATCGCCTTGGTAAATCTGGATTGGCTAAGAATAGACGTCCATACGCAACAAGATCAGCTCGGTCTTCAACCACAGCTTTGTTTCCATCTCCTCTATCATAACCACCAGCTACCATAAAAGTACCTTTGAATGCCTTCCTCATTGGTACAAGGCTTTCAGGACATTCAACTTTTTCCCCAACTGTTTTCATCCTTGGCTCAACCATGTGGCAGTAAGCAATGCCATACTTATTCAAGGATTCGGCCATGTAAAGTCCCAAAGCACTTGGGTTTGAGTCTCCTGATTCCATGTAGCTTGCAAATGGGGAAAGCCTTATTCCAACTCTGTCAGCTCCTATCTCATTTACAACTGCTTCAACTATTTCGTGTGCGAATCTGCAACGGTTCTCTAAAGACCCTCCATAATGGTCCGTTCGATCATTGACTTGGTCTTTCATAAACTGGTCGATTAGATAGCCATGAGCTCCATGGATCTCAACCCCATCAAATCCTACAAACATAAGTGAAGTTAGCTTGAGGGAGGGTGTTAATTTGACGGCAATACTGACGTGACCGCACATGAACAGATATTCAAAGCAAGGATTATACATCACTACTAATCGACTCACCATGTAATCAATCTAACAAAGCACCTATATCCGAAAATGTTCTGCAAGATTTAAAATTTCTGTGAAAGGTCTATGTCTAAATTTCTTTTCTTGATTCCTAGGAAACCATAGTGGAGATAACTGAAAAGCGACTCATTCTGGTTATTCACTGAAGAGCATCACTGAAATGCCACTTAGACGGCACGTATCACACTATTCACACGCATTATGTTGCAGTCAGTACAAATTTTTGCTTGTTTCTCTGTTGTATTGCTTACAGCCTAAGTTTTAACCCACTGTTCAGATCCGGCAGTTCCACCAGCTGAAAAATGGGGAAGCACACTCAATATATACACAACATAAAACGAATATACTTATTTGAAAAACAAGTTAACCTCTTCTTACATAGTACATGCTAAAAGGTTATCCTATTTTATCAAGTTTGCCAAATAGTTGAGATAAACAGTATATAAGAAGCATCATATGAGTCCCGAAATATTCAAATAGTGACACATTCAGCTCAGCTTATGCATATACTTCTAATTCTTGGGAACTCGGTATCCATTTTAGCACTTGCTGCCTTTGTTTCCTTTGTCGACTTTTCTTTAAAGATACTATTCATCTTACACATATAGCAAAATATGTAACAACGATTTTCTAGTCCAGAATTTCAGACTGAAGCTGCTTTCCATTAAAGCAGTAAACTTGACAAGAAAGTCTTACCAGCTTCAATGGCATTTTTAGCAGCAAGCCTAAAATCGTTAACAATCTGAGGAATTTCATCTATTGTCAGCCGCCGTGGTGGTGTAAATTGTGCAACATCCACGCCATTGGCACGAATTTGAGGTGTTAATGGCTTGTCTGTGCAGGAGATAGGAGCCTGTCCATTGGGCTGAAAATCTGAACAAAAGGAGTCAAGTTAAGAAGCACAGAAGTTCACATCTAGTGAGATAGTTATCTCAAAGCGTCAAATATGATTTGATAAAATAATTAAATTTATGTTAGCAAAGTCAGTTACCTTTGTGGGAAACTCTCCCAACATGCCAAATTTGGCAAAAAAAGATTCCTCCTTTGGCATGGACTGCATTTACAATTGGTTTCCAGGCCTCAACTTGCTCCTTTGTCCATATACCAGGTGTTTGTGGATACCTTTAATCAATAAGCATATAGCAGTATTTAGAATGATTACTTGGGAGTAACTGCAAGTATACAACAACAAAAAACCCATTGTAATCCCACAAGTGAGATCTGGAGAGAGTAATATGTATGCAGATCTTACCCCTACCTTGATAAGGTAGAGAGGATAGACCTTCAGCTCAAGGACAAATTGCAACTATAAACTAGTAAAATTATGGGAACTAAGGTTACCCTTGGGCAGTGTCAGAAACTCCTGTGGCTTCTGCTATTAGAAGACCCCCTTTTGTGGTTCGTTGAGAGTAATAAAGGATAGCATGTGGCTGAGGAACATTGCCATAAGATCTCTGCCTCGTCAATGGCGCCAATACAACCCTGAAAAAACATGAAGAGGGCAATAAGAACCAGTTTGCATCTTTATTCATCAAATTCACACGGCTATGCAATAATAGGATGTCAAAACTCAATGCTCAAAGATAATTACCCTTGCAAATAAGGATTACATAGTTAACTCAATTATCAATAGTGACACACTAAATTTCAATTCCCTTGAAGATTTAGATGATGGCTGGAAGATAAAACTGCAACCGCATGTATTTACCATTTGGTCATCAAGAACTTGAATTAGTTGGGAATATCAGCTAAGGAAATATAAAACTCATCACTCAGAAAAAGTAAAGAAAAAAAATGCCACTTCGAGAAATTGCTTTAACTTTAAAAAAAGAAGTAAACTTATACTTTGCACAAATCAGAAATCATTAACAGCAGAAGAAATGAAAGTAAGAAAGAAAAAACAAAAGGGCAAACCGAACATTTTAAGATCAAATTTGAATAATCAGGAAGAATCAAACATCAAATGGGGAACAACATATAACCAGTGTAATCGCCCAAGTGGAGTTTGGGAAGGGTTGTATATACATAAATCTTACCCTTACATTATTGAGGTACCTTAATATTACGGTTTCGATAGATCCTTGTCTCAAAAAATGCATAATCACATCAGTTTTAATAAAGAAAATGGGAACTGGATCTGGAAGAAGAATACCTATGAGATAACTGAAAAATTCCCATTTTATAAGGGGTCAGTAGAGGAATGTCTTGTCTGCTTTCTGGAATTTGAGCAGCATTGTTTTCCATTTTGGGCTTTTCTTGTTTTTGTCACAGTACTTTTCTTGCAGACTTGTATGTCTCTCTAATCAGCTATAGATACATATAGCCAAGAAGAAAAGTGAAATGTGTAAAAATATTGTCCACATATAGCTGCTGGGGTTTTGGTTTCTCCATCTCAGCCGCCCCAAAAAGGAAGCTCGTTTTCCCACAAGGAATATGCATGTTATTTGGTTTTGTGCCTCCATTCATTGCCGTCCTGTTTGAATTATCTTTGACTTCACAAAACTCTTGATTCGTGAGTGTGTGTTTGGTTAACTTTTTCTTCTTCTTTTTTAATAAAGCAGGTGTACGGACCAATAATGCTATCTACCAACGCAAGCAGTGATGTTCATTGTTCCGTCCAATTCATTTTTACCAAATTTCAATTCGACTTCTTAGTTTTCGATTTAAGGAAGAATTAACATAAATAGTTACATATATTTAAAGCTTATGTATAATATGGATATGATTATTTATAATTAATATATAATCCATATATACATGCTTAGGCGGATCCAAGATTTTAATTCTACAGGTTCAACACTCCAATTTCAACTATTGAACTCATCACTTTGTTTAAGTTATGGGTTCATACATAAAAAAAATTCAATATTTCTAGTGAATTTTATATTAAAAATTTAGGTTTGAGATAAAAGTTTTGGGTTCAGTTGGACCTAGATGTAAAACTATTGGATCCGCTCATGTAGGCTAAGAAAAGTAAATAATGAATATTAAATACTCCCTCTGTTTCAATTTATGTGAATCCATTTGACTGGGCACTATTTACTCGAAAAACGGTACAGTTGAATTTATACGAAGTTTATAGACAAGTGAATTAATTTGATCCTGAAATAATAGATGAATTAGATAAAATATGATACTTAGCCTTGAGATGGAGATAGAATAACAGAAATAACAATTCTAGGAGCTGGGCTTCCGGGCACAACATTAATGATATCAATAAATAAGAAGACAAAAATTATATTGAGCTTTGAATAGAGTAAAGCATGTATTTGCCTGAAAATTCCCCCTCTACAATGATAATAGAGCTCTCTATTTATAGTTGCACCTACGGAAGGTCCTAGGATCAAGCCCTCTTTAATGTTAATTATGAGGGCCATTGAAGAATGTAACAGCATGCAGTGAATGTCATATTCCTTATAACGGACCGTGAACTTAATGCTACAGAATATTTCTTATTAAATGCTACCAAGTGGCAGGTATTTATTTCATCTCTGCGAATATTATTCTCTCCACTAACATACGGGATTGGTACCTTCAATTTATATAGAATTTATACCGTTTTGAAAGTAAATTCTGTGTTCCGAGGCCTTAAAAACTTCTTTTTGTCTCATCTCAATTTGTGTGCGCAGTCTGAACGCGATTCTGGAAAGCTTTTATGTGAAAACTAAGTGAAATAAGGAAAATAGCCTTTAAAATTGATTAAAGTTGGCTTTGGTCTACCTTCTTGGTAAACGGACCCGGACCGGTGATCCGATGGTCTCGTAGGGTTCGTAGTAAAATTTGGGACTTGGGCATATACCCGGAATCGAATTCCGAGGTCCCAAGCCCGAGAAATAAATTTTTGAAAGAAATTATTTAACTGAAATTATAAGAGTTTTTGGAAATGAAAAATGTTTGAAATTGATGGTATCGATCCCGTATAATGGTTCCGAAGCCCGTTACAGGTCTTATATAATAATTAAGTTGAATCTATGAAGTTTGGTAAGAATTGGAGTTCGTTTGGTATAAATCGGACCTTTATTTGAGAAAATGGAAATTTTGATGTTCTTGAGTGATTTCATAAGTTTGAGGTTTAATTCATAGTTGTTGATGTTATTTTGATGATTTGATTGCATGAGAAAGTCCGTATGATGTTTTTGGACTTGCGTGCATGTTTGGTTTGGAGCACCAAGGACTCGGGTGAGTTTTGGATAGGCCACGGAGTGAATTTGGACTTAGAGAAATGGCTGTTGCAGGTTCAGTGGTGTTGCAGGCTCTAATCTCACAATTGCGAGGTCAGGCTTCGCAATTCTGAGCCCAACATGCTTGGCAATTGCGAGGGCTTGATCGCATTTCCGAAGAAAGCCCAGCCTGCCAGTGTTCGTAATTGCGAACACCCTTCGCAAATGCGAAGTCATCAGGGGAGGGCCAGTATCGCAATTGCGACAACTTGTTCGCAATTGCGAGGTTAGCAGACAATGCCTAGGTTCGCAAATGCGAGGCCTTGTTCGCATTTGCGAGCTTTGCAATTGCGAAGCTCCTGTCGCAATTGCGACATCTGCGACAAGTTAATTGGGACTTAGACGAATTTTTCATCATTTTTCAAACTCCCTTAAACCCTAAGCTCTCTTGGGCAATTTTCTAAGGAAAATTTCTTCTCCAAATCAATTGTAAGTCGTTTCTAACTCATTTTCTTCAATCTATAACATCTTTTCATGTGATTTCAATTCAAAATCAAGAACTTTCATGGGGAATTGGGTGATTTTGGGTAGAACTTAAGATTTTCAATTTTTGGGGATTCAGACCTCGATTTGAGGTCCGATTTCAAAATAAATTATATATTTGAGTTGGTGGGTGAATGGGTAATCGGGTTTTGCTTCGAACCTCGGGTTTTGACCATGTAGGTCTGGGGTCGAATTTTTGACTTTTTCTTTAGAAAACGTATTTTCATGTAATTCATTTAACATTTATTGATATCGTTAAGTAAATTGTGGCTAGATACAAGCGAATTGGTGGTAGAAACAAGAGGTAAAGCGTTAGTTGAGGCTTGAATTGTGTTCGTGGCATCGAGGTAAGTGTTTGGTCTAACCTTAGCTTGAGGGATTAGAAGTTGCGTCTTGTTTTCTATGTGTTAATTGTTGAGTAAGACGTATAGGTGTGGTGACGAGTATCTATACGTCGGTGTCAAGCATGTCCCTAAGTCTTATACTATGATTAATGCGACTCCATTCCGTAGTGTTCATACTTTATATGATGATTTCTATTATTGAATAAGGCTTGTGGAAGTATTATTGGTAATTGAACATTGTAGTGCGTTGACTCAAGTTGAGAATTGAGTTGTGAAGTAATTGTGGAAAAGCGAAGAGGATTATGATATTGTCTCCCTTGCCGGGATGTTATTGCTTTTGATATTATCTCCCTTCCCGGGATGTTATTACTTATGATATTGTTTTCCTTGCCGGGATATTATTGTTATACTATTGTTCCCTTGCCGGGATTCTATTGTGATTTTGTTGATTCCCTTGCCCGTATTGCTTTGTGATTGTTGCTTGTTTAAGGAAGAGTGTAAAAGCACGAAAGGTGATATCGTACATGATATTTGTGAGAGAGTGTTAATGCACGAAGGGTGATGTCGTGCTAATATTGTGAGGTAAAAGCACGAAGGGTGATGCCGTGCCGCACGATGTACAATACCGTGCCATGATATGAGTGATAATGCACGAAGGATAATTTCTTGCCATGATTATGTAGGTAAAAGCACGAAGGGTGATGGCGTGTCGATTATATTGATTCTTATGGTGAGGACGAGAGTAAAATTACAAAGGGTGATGTCATGCACTTGTCATTGATTTCCTTATTCTCGCTTACAGTTGAATTTCGTGTTCCTTTTACTTCTTTACTATGATTTTGTTTGTACATGATATTCCCTGCAGTATGTTTCCCCCTTCCCGTCTTTGACTGCTAGATTTTGTCATTATTACTTGCTGAATATGATATAACTGCACAGTTTTATTTGGTAATCTTGTCCTAGCCTCGTCACTACTTCGCCGAGGTTAGGCTAGACACTTACCACCACATGTGGTCGGTTGTAGTGATACTACACTCTACACTGTGTGCAGATCCCGGTGCTACAACTTTTGGACTACAGTGAGGTTGCTGCCTTCAGTCCATCAGGCGACCCGAGGTAGTCATGCATGCATCCGCAGGCCTTGGCATCTCCTTCCTATCTAGTTTTTCTTCTATTCTTTACTATTCCAGAGACAAACATGTATCTATTTTTTTCGGACTCTATTTGTAGTATTCTTAGATAGTTTGTGAGATTGTTATACCTGTTCTGGGTAGATTATGTTTATGGATTTGTATCGGTATTATTTTAAATTGTTACATTTCATTCTTTCGTTTTATTATTGTCATTGTTTATAAAATATTAACTCACAATTGTTAAGAGTTTAAAATTAAAAGGGTTAAATGATTGGAATAATTAGCTTGCCGAGCTTTCACTAGTAGGCGCCATCACGATTCCCGAGGGTGGGAAATCTGGGTTGTGACAAGTCAATCTTCGAAAATACCTTGGCACCCTGAAGCTGATCAAACAAATCATCAATCCTCGGCAATGGATACTTGTTCTTGATTGTAACCTTGTTCAACTGCCGATAATCTATACACATCCTCATCGATCCGTCCTTCTTCTTGACAAACAACACCGGCACACCCCAAGGGGAGACACTAGTTGTAATAAAGCCTTTATCAAGCAAATCCTGCAACCGCTCTTTCAACTCTGGCAGGGCCATACGATACGGTGGGATAGAAATGGGCTGAGTGCCCGGAGCCAAATCAATGCAAAAGTCAATATCCTTGTCGGGGGGCATACCCGGCAGGCCTGAAGAAAATACCTCAGGAAACTCATGAACAACAGGCACAAAATCCATAGAAAGAACCTTGACACTAGAATCATGAACATATGCCAAATAGGCCAAACATCCCTTATCAACTATGCGCAGAGCCTTCATATATGAGATAACTTTACGGGTAGAATGATCAGGAGTCCCTCTCCACTCTAAACGAGGTAAACCCGAAAGGGTGCCCAGTTTAGATGGTCGGACGAGTGTGAGGCGAGCTTTTAGAAGTTCAAGACAGCTTTGACTACGTCACCGGTGTTGGTATTTCCTACAGGTTCAAGGCCATATACAGTTTATTATGACGTAAGCTCGTATTGGACTTGGTGCGGTGTTGATTCAGGATGGCAAGGTCATTGCTTATGCTTCGCGATAGTTGACGATTTATGAGAAGAACTATCCAATTCATGATTTGGAGTTAGCAGCCATTGTTCACGCACTGAAGATTTGGAGGCACTATTTGTATGGCGTGTCATGTGAGGTGTTCACGGATCACAAGAGTCTACAGTATTTGTTCAAGCAGAAGGAGATAAATTTGAGGCAGAGAAGGTGGTTGGAGCTGTTAAAACACTATGATATCACCATCTTATATCATACGGGGAAGGTCAATATGGTGGCCGATGCTTTGAGTAGGAAGTCAGC